ATTTTGTTAATGGAGAGTTTTCTTCAAGTCTTCAGTGAGGCTGTTATACAGAACCAGGCGTACCGTATCTCTTTGGTGTTTCGTAAACTTGCTGTTTCAGGGTGGATTATTTTTAACTGAAGTGATCCAAGTTAATCATTTTTTATCTAAGTAACCAGAAAAATCCAGTTAAAATCGGCTTTTTATATATGTAAATATATATATATATGTCTTAAAGAAATATCTATGTCTATCTGAAAACCACGTAAACATTTTTATAACTTTAGACTTTCTATTAAACTGCACTTTTTTGGCTAGAAAGAATAGACTACAGCTGTACCCATTTTTCAAAGTTGTTAAATACAGAGTAATATTTGTGCCATTTCTTTACATTTTACTTATGTTGGCAAATCACAACTGATGCTTTTTTTTTTTTTGATGATTGCCTGTACAGTTGTGGGTTTTTGCCAAGTTGAGTGAAAGAGGCACTCAGTTAAATTACGTACGCGGAATTTTATTAGCTAATTAAAGCACTCTTAAATGTGATGAATATATAAGAGGGGAAATAAGCTTATCCAAAGCTGTTCTACATTTTAAGTGATTAAAAAAAGTGTTATGGATAGTGAAGGAACTCAGCTGATGGTTCTAAATACGTGAAGGCATCAATAAGTGAAAACAGGTAGATCTTGTCATTTCACATGCTCTTTCATACCTTCCTGTTCTGTCAGCCCTCATCACTCTCCTAGGTTCAAACTAATTATTTGCTGAAATAAACTCATGGGGTAGAAGGTTGTTACAGAAATGTTCTCTTTGCATCTGCTGAGGATGCTTCTGTGAGTAAAACCTAAGTTAAAATTTACAAGTCTTGGTCAGTTGAAATGCTCAGGTGCTCAGACAGCAGCTTCTCTTCAGGAGTTTGACTTTTCCAAAAACTTCACTGCTGGTTTCTTTCAATTTACATCACCTGAGAAGATTATGACTTTAAATCAACCATAGGTTTTTTTTCCCCATGACAGTAAATACATCTGTTTTAAAAGGAACGATGTATTTAAATACAAGTCACTCTGAAAGCACAAAATAAGTGCTGTGCTCTTCGGCCAAATTTGCATCTTCAGCTCTCAAATTAGATCTCTACCTGATCTGATCTGAAGGAATTTTCAGTGCTACTTGGGGAGCCGCTACACGAAAGGCTTTACTGTAATTCTCTGCTTCCAAGAACCGTAACCCAATTCGTACTTGTCCTTGATGACTGCAGGTTGTAGCACTTATGTCCAAGATCAGATCCTCTCTTGGTACCTCCTCTTTGTGGAAATGCCACCAAGCAGAAGTGATATCTATGCTGCATTCTTGGAGAACCTTTATATTGCATTAGCAAAGTACCCAGGCCTCATAAACCAGGGTAGAGACTGCAAATGCTGGTTGGATGAGCAAAGAGAAAAAATTGACGACCCATTTTATCTTAATTTTTACAAGTTCATGAAAAGCTTTTTTCATAAACAAGTTTATAAGAAAGAAGCAGCAAAGACTGACTTTCTTTCCCCAGCTACTGCCCATCATGTTAGTTGGTCAACACATTAAGCCCAGGTTGGTGATGAATCCAACAGACATATGTGTGCTCATTTGTGCTGCGGTTTTGGGTCTTCCGAGGTTGCCAGACTATCAGAGTCATCTTCACACTGTGAAGATAGAAACCTGCAAGTAATGGGATGAATTAGGCAAAAGCAGATGATTAATTTGTTGTACATTGATTATGAACAACAGCTGTGCAATAGTTATCCTGCAGCCTTACCTGCGGGCCAGATGTTTGCATCATTAAATGTTTGAAATTTAATCCAGTGCAGGGACACTGGGGAGGTCCAAAATAAAAGCAAGTCCTGGGAGACTGAAATCCAGCCTGTATGGGTCTGTAGACTGCAGAATAGCCAGAAGCAGAATGAAATGGTCAGGGCATCTGTCTGAGCAGCATCCAGAGGTGGGAGAGGAGCAGAGACCATAGGGGAGGGGGTAACGCCGTGTCTGCCGAGCCCTGTGCCACTACTAAAGCTCTGTCAAATTTCTGATGCTGTTGCTGGCAGCATAGATAGGATCTTTGGCTTGGAAGAGCTCATGTTACTGCCATATTTTGTTGGCAGCTTCTCTTTTGAGACTGCTGATAAAGAAACCACTTACAAGATATTTTAACATTATCTGTTCACATAGGACTGAGATGTCTGCCTCTCATTCAGCATATCTAGCCAGCGAGTCTTTGGATCAGAATAAACCTCAGGTGGATATCAAGTTTGAAATGAAAATTGGTATCTTGATACTGAACATTTCGACTGTTTGATGGTCTTTAGGTCATGACTCTTGACAATGGGGTCTGCCAAGTGAAGGCTGTCACATACGCATCAGAGGAAACGTCTCACTCTGCAGCTGGCGAAGGCTGGCAGAGAACATGAGAAAAATACTCCCGTGGTGCAGATAAGCAGGTTTGGTCTCAAAAATCTGAAAACATGACCTATGAAGAAAGAACAGAAAAATTTGGGTTGTTTAGTTTAAAGCAGCCTGAGGGGTAGCAGAGATGGGAAGCAACGAACGTGGCCTTTGGGGTCACTGTCCGTCCTGCTTCTGCAGGCTGTGATTTGCAGGGAGATGTAGGGAGCGCTTGATTTGATGGAACTTGAAAACAAGTAAAACCTATTTTAGGCTGGTTTTGTAAATGTCAGATTGTTCTTGTAGCAACACTTTTACAGACATATTGCAAGCCCTTAGGGGAAAAAATACATGGCCGCCACTCGTACTGTAGAATTAGACCAGCTGAAGCCTCTGTATGATCTGTTTTAAACAGCTCTTGGCTCTAAATTGGGTAGAAGTCTCCATGAGTGGGAAGTATGCTGAGACTATGGTGCTAAGGGGAGTTCAGCACTGGAACAAATAGTTTTTTTCTGGAGTACATTTGGCTGAGGTTAGTCACAAGGATGGTCTTTGGTCATGGGCGTGGGTGGGGTGTCGTGTTGGTCTGCACATGCGTCTGTATTTGCCAGTTTTGTTGGATACATGGGACTAAGGGATACACAGGCAAAGCACTTGGTGCATTTAGAGATCTGCCTCTTCCCATTAATGCTTGTGCAGTGAGATGTTCGCTGCGTGCTAAGGGCTGAAGTGGGCTAAAGAAGAGAGTGGAAGAGGGACTTTTGACAAGGGCGTGTAGTGATAGGACAAGGGGCGGTGGATTTAAACTGAAAGAGGGGAGATTTAGATTAGATCTAAGGAAGAAATTCTTCCCTCTGAGGGTGGTGAGGCACTGGCACAGGTTGCCCAGAGACGTTGTGGCTGCCCCATCCCTGGAAGTGTTCAAGGCCAGGTTGGATGAGGCTTTGGGCAACCTGGTGTAGTGGAGGGTGTCCCTGCCCATGGCAGGGGGGTTGGAACTAGATGATCTTTGAGGTACCTTCCAACCCAAACCATTCTATGATTCTATGATTTTGGAATCAGAAGAATGCCAGGGCTGGTGCAAGGGAAGAGGAAGGAGCCATGTAGCCCTTTCCATTGCGGATCAGTTTCCTGCTAAGCTGAGGACCTGCAAATCTGTTTTTCCTTGTTTGCTGAATCCAAATCAACCAACAGTTCAGTCCCAGTTTTATTTCTGACTTAAATCAGCAGAAAACCCATCAGTGCTTGCTTACAGAGGTAGAAAGTAGCTCTTGCTGTAGGAACTATGGTCATTCAACAGAAAGCCACCAAACAGTTCCCTTAAAATTAAATTTAAGTGCAGGCATTTTCCTAACTAGTCATGGAAGAATGTCACCTCATGGGGAATATCAATTCTTTTATGGCTGCTAAACCCCAAATAATAGTGTTAACGGCACCCGAAAACAAATATGCCTCTAGAGAGCAAGGACATTTTGCTACGAAAAACTTGCCCAACCTAGGGGAGCTAATTAACAGGTCAAAGGAGAATCTGTATTTCATTTCTAGTTTAAGAGTAACATTCACAGAATCACAGAATGATCCACCCTCAATGTAAAAAATTTCTTCCTTATATCCAATCGAAATCTTCCCCTCTTTCAGTTTAAGGCCATTGCCCCTTGTCCTATCACTATATACAGAATGTAGCAGAAACATATCTTGGAGAGAAAACGATGGGGTTTCTCCCTAAACTGGCTCACTGTGGTAAGTGCCAGAGCTGGTGTAAGGGAGGAGGAAGGTGTGGTGGAGGGAGGAGGAAGGTATGTTCCCTCCAGAGGCCATGATGCCTAACTGCACCATAAAATCGCATCCTTCATTCGTCTCAGCTGATTGCAGAGGAATCACGTGGAAACTACGTCAGCTGGGATATGATCCCAGTTAATCAGGAAATGTTTTCTAAGGTAAAGCACGTTGGAAGGAGAAAGCCTGGTGTGTTTTTTCACTGAATGGAACCACAGACCGTCATGTGCTTACGGCAGCGCTGCTCGCTGGCTCCCTGCTCAGCTGACCGCGCTCAAATGCGCGTCCGGGGATTCTGCTGCAACAGCTTTGTTGCTTTAGTTGTATCTTCAGATGCCAGGGAAGATGCTGGGATGCGTCTGGTTCTTGTCCTGTCCTTTTTTCCCCCCTGAATTCTGTGTTTGTGAAGGAGATGAGCTTAGGTGAGCCCTGGGACACAACTCTTGCTTTGAAGTCCGCCGTCCTTCTGCTGTAGGCATCTGTGGGAGGGATTTCACTAAAAGTGAAATGATTGTAGTGATCACGATGGTAAGACTCATGATTTTATCATGATTTTGGAAGGCTCACGATTTCTGGCACTCAACTAAACAAAGACCTGTTCAAGTCTGTTAGGAGAAAAAACATCTTGTGCTTGTTCCCAAGATACAACTTCCAAAAGTAATTCCTCACTTCTAATTTCTGTGATGAGTTATTACCATGTAGTTACCCTTATATATTTAGGACTCTATCTCTGTAGTTTAACCTTTCAAACAGGTAAATGCAGCTAAATGTGTGCTATTGGATTATTTTATTTTTTTTTTTAGAATTAGTCCCAGCATCCTGACTTCTCCATCATGTCAGAACCCATCACGCTCAATGTTGGAGGAAAACTCTATACCACCTCTCTGTCTACCCTGACTAGTTTCCCAGACTCCATGCTGGGGGCCATGTTTAGTGGGAAGATCCCAACCAAGAAGGACAGCCAAGGCAACTGCTTTATCGACAGAGATGGCAAAATCTTCCGCTATATCCTGAACTTCTTACGAACTTCTCACTTGGACCTCCCTGAAGACTTTCAGGAAATGGGCTTACTTCGACGGGAGGTAGATTTTTATCAAATTCAGCCACTGATTGAGGCCTTGCAGGAGAAGGAGGTGGAGCTTTCTAAAGCTGAGAAAAATGCCATGCTCAACATCACCCTCGATCAGAAGACCCAGACTGTTCACTTCACCGTCCGAGAAGCACCCCAGATCTACAGCCTGTCTTCCTCCAACATGGAAGTGTTCAGTGCTCATATCTTCTCTACATCATGCCTGTTCCTGAAGCTTCTCGGTTCCAAACTTTACTATTACTTCAACGGAAACCTCTCTTCAATATCCAGCTACCTGCAGGACCCCAACCATTTGACCTTGGATTGGGTTGCAAGTGTGGAAGGCCTTCCTGAAGAGGAGTACACCAGGCAGAACTTAAAGAGACTTTGGGTGGTGCCAGACAATAAGCAAATCAATAGTTTCCAGGTGTTTGTGGAAGAAGTGCTAAAAATAGCCATGAGTGATGGTTTCTGCATAGATTCTTCTCACCCACATACTTCAGATTTCATGAATAATAAGATTATTCGCCTAATTCGGTACAAGTAGGAATGGCTGCTTATTATGGTGCCAGCATGGAGATAACACAGGTTAAGTGTTTCCCTTTAAAACACACTAACAGCCTAGTTCAGAATCATGCTTACCTGGATTAAGAGTCACTAACAGGGAGATGATTTTCCTTTAATATATTTACCAATACGATCTTTCAGAATATGTCCATATTCTAGACGGAAGGAATATTGTCTAGCACCTGAATTAAGGATGGGTTCTGTCTCTGCCTCCGCCTCCGACCTGCTGGACAACTGTGGGGAAAACCACTTAACTCCTGTCCTTCTTACATTTTCCAGTTGGAAAAACGAGCGTGATCCTTAACCTGTATTGCAAGGATGATGTGAGGGTTCGGTAATAAAGGTTTGGAAGGTTTTCTGGAGGTGCAGTGAAAGATGCCGTGGAGCTGCAGCACAGCGGACAGCCCAGGGGGCACGTTTTTGATGTCTTGCCGTATCACCTGCGCAGAGCATCCAAGAAGCTTGGTTGGATCCGCAGAGAAGCCTCCCCACATGCACATGCTCAATATAACTGTAAAGGATGGTGCAAACTGCAAATGAGTAAGGGATCCTGCCCGTTTGGGTTCAACAAAGGATTTCTGTCACCATCTGAAGCTGACGGGTTTTTTTTCTGAACCTTGGGAGGAAGCCCCTGCTCTGTTCTGCTTTCAGGAAAGCCATGTTTGAATGATGTAACTGGAACGGGCAACGTCCAAGGAAGCCATAGAAGAGTGAATGTTGTTCTCGTGAACTGAGAAGATTGTGGCTGGTGGGGGAACTTTGCTTTGGATGCTCATAAACCTTTTCTTTTACATTCCAAAGGCATCCAAGACAACTAGTCCTTTTCTTTTTCTTACAATGTTGTATTTGTCTGGAGGATGCTGCTGAAAACATTTTCTGAGGTGGAAACATTAAGAGGGCAGAGGTCCCCAAAGATCTTCTGAACGTTTGAACCTCTTCTACCTGGACATGGCCTTCTTTTGAGCACATCTTCCTTCAGCAGTGCCTGGAGTGCATGGGATGCTTTCTGGGTAGGACAGATTCCATCTGAAAAGACACCTTTCTCATCACATTACACCCAATATTTTCCATTACAGAACCAGAGGCTCACTTTTCCTATCCCAGTACATTGAGCCTTTTTTTTTTATAAATCATTGTGAAATGGTCAGGTCACTAAGCTAGCATTTTCACGCTTGCTTGGCTTTAGAGTCAGATTGTCAGAGGAAAGGCAGTGGGAAACCAGGGGTGATGACAATGGTCAAGCTCTTTCCTACAAGCCCAGTCTATGCTATGATGAAGATCCTAATCCCATAGCTACATGTTAGCTCTCAGCATCATTTGTGCCAAGTTCAAGGTGGTTTATTCTCAGCTAATTATGTTTAAAAGTATCTTTGCTGTCTTTCCCTGAGCAGGTTGCTACGTGTGCATGAGAGACCCTCTGGAACATTTCCCGTTCTCTCCAATGAGATGGAAGGGAAAATGCAATAACCAAGTTTTGCATTTAGAATTCCAGTGCTTCCAAAACTTCTTAGCACAGGGCTGCAAAGCTCAGTATTGCTCATGTTCTTGTTTCCCAAAGTAACTAGTCTTGTCGTTACATTAAGCATCAAGAAGCGTTTTGTTACTGTTGTAAAATACAGTGAGATAAATACATTTCTGCTGTCCCAAGCTGTAGTTGCATGAACAACACAAATCAGCATGCTGATGGTAAAAATGCACATCCTGCAGCTTTTGGCAGCCTGTTACAAACTGTTTCCCCTGTCAGACTCAGTGCTAGACCAGCAGGATATACGTCGGACCGTGTTGTTAGGAAGCACTGACTTGGCTCGAAGCCCTCAGAGCCATCAAACCTGGCAAGTTTTGTGAATTTTGAGGATTGTAAACAGGATTTTGTGGCTAAATTCCAACCTGAGTCACCACGTTCTTCTACTTTTAGTTGCATTAGGAAGAACTTTGTTTTTCCCCATCCCTGTCCTGAATTACAAAGCAGGAGTAATCTGTTCCAGGGGTTGCTGCATGCCACTGGCAAAGCAAAGCAACTCCTGTGTGCATCTGATTTCTGACATGATTTTGCCACTCCGTTGGACATTCACAGTGCTGATCTATGCAGGTAATATGATTATGATCTGTAAAATACCATACATGAACCCTCTTTCATCATATCTGTGCCTTGAAACAGATCTGCCTTCGCTGAATTTATGCTAACAGAGCTTTTGGGGGCTGTTGGCAGTACGTCTTTTTAGCCCATGCCCTTGAGAGTGGATTTTAAATGATCTGTAACAGAAGTTCTTGTATGTCAGGACTAAAATAATACCTATCTGTAGTAATTTGTTTCCTGTCAGCTTGAGTTTATCCAAAGGTAAGAGCAGGGTGCTTAAATCTCATTTGGAAGGAGGAAGAAGTCTGATCTACATCCTGTAGGGCTCTGGATCAGTACTGGTCCATTCTGTTTCAGCAAAATAAAAACATTCCCTGGGAAAGTTGAATCTTTACTGTATTTTCTGGTGAAAAGCAAGTAAGAGGAGCCCATAAAAGCCCTATGTGGAGCTTAATCTAAAGCATTTACTCTTCCCCTTTGCTTCCACTCCCTTTTCTTTTTTTCAGACTGTAGCAGCACCCAAACTAAAAGCAGTTATGTAGTTTCTTAAAAGCCTAAACAAGAAATGAAGAATGCCCCAACCTGGCCTAGACAGTAACTTGGGTAATTCTGCTGACATGGAAATAGGGGTTTCAGTCTGCACAGAGTGAGGAGAGAACTGAACCCAGGTCTTCTCCTGGAGTGCTTTAACCCCCCAGTCTGGTATGCAAAAGACATATTTATCTGTGCTCAGGTAGCTAAATCAGGCAAAGGTACGAAATCTGTCATTTATTAACATGCAAAATATCTCTGTATGTAGAGAGACGCCAAATTTCCAAAAAGTATGGAGACATGAGTGAAGACAGGCATCGGGAGGAACAGAAAAACTTGAGATGCCTCTAAATTGCTAAGCAGAATAAACATCCTTAAGCATGAGCCACTATTTATAGTGCCACAGTAGTTCTGCGTGCTACTTATGCGACGTAAGCGGTAAGTGCATCGCTTGCGATCGCCGTCAAACATATGTTACACAAAGGCAGCTGCTATTTCAGACTACACACTAAGCTAAATTTATAGCTGCTCCTTAATTTTAGTCTGTGAGTTACGTTCTAATGACTGCTTATAGGAATGTTCTCTCTCCAAAACATTTGTTCCTTTTTTATCTGGATAGCTGGCTTTTGTTTACCTCCTTCTTCTGAGCCCTGCAGGTGTAACTTGCTTTTGTTTACCAGGCAACAGCACGGATGATTCTTCTTCTCAAGAGTTTTCCTGAATCCAAGAAAAGTGAACATGCACAAAACTGTATTAAGTACAGTACAACCCCACCACTTGTCATGAAAAGCACTTGGCATTTCATCTAATGCCAAAGATGGCATTAGATGAAATTCTAATTCATCTAAGGCAGTAACATCTAAAAATTATTTCACTGTTGCATGGACTATTCATTCTCAGAACAAACTTTTTTTTTTTCCCCCTGTAAGGGCCTGAGACCAAGGAAAGGATCTAGTGAGGTTTTTTTCCCCTCTTGAAGTTTGAAGGGTGTTTTCTTCCACACCTTGGTACTTAACTCCTGTTCTGATTTGGCCATATGCTGGTGTCCGTCCACACCTTCATGCACAAGATGAGGCCAAGTCCTGCACTTTTATTTAAATGGCCTGAAAGCTGAGAGAGCCACTGAATAGAGCGATCAATAGTGTTAGAGCAGAAAAACACCAGAGTTAGGGCAGATGTTAAATAAGTTATTAGCTGTAGGCTAAAGGCATTTTCAGATCTGGGCATACGCACAGCACAGTGGGATTTCTTATAGGACAAAAAGATTATGATGAAGCATCTTAGTGGAGTCCAGAAAGCATCACTCATGGATTTCTCTGTATTTTTAGGCTTGATAGCTCTTAGATACCTAACAAGGGCCAGTTATAACGAAGGGACTGAAACCGTACATAAATACTAAGACATCTTTAGTTCATGCAGCTGTTGTTAAAGGTCATTAGGAGTCGGTGGGAGGAGTATTTGTTGCTGCAGGTGATGGTAGAGAAATAAAAGAAATAGGTGTAAAACGTTAGACCTGGGAGAATTCCCCTGTTAACAAGAAACTCAGGATTTAGAAGGGACAGAAAAAAGAATCTTGATGTGTTCAGGAAAAAAAAAAAACAGCAAGATAACAATGGAGGCAAGGATTTTGCTAGGGAAGGAGGCTGCGATTAGAATGACTCACTGGTCCTTTCCAGTTTTCGTCTCCTGTTATGCAACTTAAGTATTGGTCATGCCAAGAGTTATGCTGGTAAGTTGTCAGGAGTAGACAGCTTTGCTTCAATTTGCATGTGCTTTAAATCACCAAACATGTGCACTGCTGTAGTTACCCATATTTTAACCGGCTTGCAGAATATAAATTGCTGCTTGAGTAGTTCACTGGCAGTAAATACCTGCAATCAATCAGATTTATTCCCACTTTAGGAAAGGCTGGTGGAGATGGTGTGTAAGGTTGATGAGAGTGATAAATATTGCCTTCAGCCCACGCCATAGACTGTGTCAAATAAATCTGGGATCTTCTGATACTTCAGAGATAAATGGAGAAGTTATGAAGAAGACTCTGGGGAGTTTCATTCTCACCCCATCCCTCTGAATTTGGCGTCACTGTTCAGAATTTCAATGTATTTTGAAAAAATTAACTGGCATTCTGTAATGACTCCTGTATCCACACACTGATGGACACAAACACACAGGGTACAAGCAGTGTTAATACGTGGCCCTCCCAGTAAAAGTCTTGTATGTGAATTACTACAGGCAGTCACGTGGATATTCTGTTGCAAGAAAGGCTGCGTCGAGCATAAATATGCAGATCATGCTCTCCGATTCACTTGGGAATGACACGAGGGATGTTTTCCCTGCAAATTCAGAAAAAAGGGCACTATAGGGGAGGGCTG